TATTTAGTGCTCATCTGATCTTGTCAGCTTCAGGAAAAAAAATAAAAATAAAAAGAAAAAGATGGAATATGTTTTATACTAACAGAATTTTGCTTTATGTATTTATTTATTTATTTTCTTTTTGTAAGTAAAATAAAATGAGAATGTTAATGAATAGGTGGCTACAAACATATCAATTTTGGGGAGAAAATGGTAGAATTTTTTTTATTTTTTTTTTCAGTTTTGTTTTTCTTTGGCAGGGAGCTTAAAATGGAGATTCACTAACAAGAAAGATAACAACACATGTGCAGATCAAACTAATTGAAGCTCTTTGATGGATGGATGAGAGAGCCCATATAGATGGCCCCATACCCACAAAGCTGTCATTTTCAATCTTTTTGAAAAATTAATTTTTTGATTCTTGATATATATTTTTTTCAATGATAAAAACAAACAAAAAAGATGCTATCATTGAACCAAAGAAGGCCTTCTCTCTGTTAGTCATAGAACCAAAGCTCAGCTGACAGATTTTTCAGGCCACCACTTGAATTTTTATTCAAATTTTTCAAAAGAAAAAAAAAAAAGAATAAAAATGGAGACGGTACCCGCAGGACAGACTCCCACCACGCCACGGAAAAAGATGACAAAACAGCTGACGGGCAAACGAGACGACACCCCGTTGCATTCAGCGGCCAGAGCTGGAAATATTGTAGCTATAAGGGAAATAATAAATGATGCCGGTGATGAGGCAGAGCTGATGGAGATTTTGTCGAGAGAAAACTCGGCTGGGGAGACCGCATTGTATGTGGCTGCCGAGTACGGATACTTTGAGGTCGTGAGAGAGATGATTAAGTACTACGATCTGTCGGCCGCTGGGATTAAGGCTAGAAATGGGTTTGATGCCCTTCACATTGCTGCAAAACAAGGGGATCTTGGTATGTATGGATGTTGTGTTTTCCTATATTATTCTGTCATGTTATTCTTTGCCTGATAATGATAAGAGTAAATTGTAATTTTAGTCTTGTATGTTTCATTATGGCTATAACTTTTTCGTCCTCTTTGAATCGTGTTTTTTATTTTCGTCCTGTATGTTTGCATAAAGGATTACAAAAAAAAAAGAAGTCCTTTCCGCAACAAAAAAGTTCTTTATGTTATGCAAAAAAAGTTCCAATTTCGTCCCTTATTTATGAATATGACCTATTTGTAATCTTTTTGCAAACATATAAGACAAAAATAAAAAACGCAATTAGAAGATGACGAAAAGGTTATGGTAGCTCTAATAATAAACAAATCTTTGGGATTAGGTGATCCTAGACATATGGTACATGCAAATTTAAGTTTGAAATGAAATGATATGTTATGTTTATGTTGTGAGTGAGGATGATTTATTTTTTATATTTTTTGAGGATTGATTTATTAATGGTGTGCAGAAGTAGTGAAGGTGCTAATGGAGGCCCACCCGGAGCTGTCGATGACGGTGGACATAGCCAACACAACGGCCCTACACACGGCGGCCACCCAAGGGCGGATAGAAGTGGTGAACTACTTTCTGGAGTGGGAGAGCAGCCTGGCAACAATCGGCAGAAGCAACGGCAAAACGGCCCTCCACTCAGGGGCAAGAAACGGGCACGTGGAGGTCGTGCGGGCCCTCCTGGCTAAGGACCCCAGGCTGTCGACACGGGTGGACAAGAAGGGTCAGACGGCACTTCACATGGCCGTCAAGGGCCAGAATCTCGAGGTCGTGGCCGACCTCATTGAAGCCGACCCTTCCACCGTCAACATGGTCGACGCCAAGGGCAACACTCCATTACACATTGCCTCTCGCAAAGGGAGGGCTCAGGTAATAAATACTAATATGTTACTTGTGTCAACTAGTAATTACTTTATTTGACAACTTAGACTGTTTAATCATTGTCTTGAACATTAATAATATATTATAACAAACAAGGACAGTCATACTATTTATTCCAAGACTTTATACACCAATCGTCTTGCTTCACTCACAACTTTAACAAAGTTGTCAAAATACTTTCTTCTCTTTTCAATTTTTTTTATTTTATTTTATTTTTTTTTCATAATTGTAAATTTTTATCTGTGTCTGCTACATCAAAGATTCAAAATAGGTCATCCTTTACAACATAGAAATGACTTATATCCAATTGAATATATTTAAAATAAAAAAGGAACTATTTCTTCTCTAATTAATTAATAACATAATAAATAGAAACTGAAAGGCGTAGATGTATAAGTACGTAAAAACAAATTAATAAATAAATTGTAACACTTTTAACTAGTATGCAATACATAACTTTTAATCTAACCGTAATTTGTATTTGAAATGTACTATCATGTACTATTATGTTTGCTAACAATGTAAATTTTCGTAGTACACGTTTATTGGATATCATCGTGCATCAGTAAATAATGATTTTTATGTACTTTTGTGTATACAATATGTATGTCCATTTGTGGATATCAAATATTTTACATGTGAAGGTGTTGAAAAGGACTTTTCAAACACCACCTTGTTTGGTAATAATGCAGGTAGTGAAGATGCTTCTTGCTCAGCCTGGAATCGACACGCGAGCTGTGAACCGTTCGAACGAGACTGCTCTGGACACGGCCGAGGCTCTGGGGCACCCAGAGATAACATCTATCCTCCACGAGCACGGTGTGGTGAGCGCCCGAGCCATCAACCCCCAAGCCTCCACCAACCCGGCACGCGAACTCAAACAGACCGTAAGCGACATCAAGCACGAGGTCCACAACCAACTGGAGCACACTCGCCAGACGCGCAAAAGAGTCCAAGGCATCGCCAAGCGCATCAACAAGATGCACACTGAGGGACTCAACAACGCCATCAACTCCACCACTGTGGTCGCCGTCCTCATTGCCACCGTGGCCTTCGCGGCCATCTTCACCGTCCCCGGGCAGTACGTTGATGACGTGGACAACATCCCACCCGGGCAGTCCTTAGGGGCCGCCAACATTGCCTCGCAGGCTTCGTTCCTAATATTCTTCGTGTTTGACTCGGTTGCGCTCTTTATCTCGTTGGCGGTCGTCGTGGTGCAGACGTCGGTGGTGGTAATCGAGAGCAAGGCGAAGAAGCAAATGATGGCTGTAATAAACAAGCTGATGTGGCTGGCGTGCGTGCTTGTGTCGGTGGCGTACCTAGCGTTGGCGTTCGTGGTGGTGGGGCAGCGGGAGACGTGGTTGGCTGTCATGGTGACCGTGATAGGAACCACGATACTCGCGACGACCTTGGGGACGATGTGTTATTGGGTGGTGATGCACAGGATCGAGTCCAAGAGCAAGAGGATCATACGGAAGAACTCGCGGGCGAGCAGGTCCTTATCGGCGTCTGTTTCAGTGCCATCCGAGCTTGAGGATTTGGACAATGATTACAAGAGAATGTATGCTATTTAGAAAAGGAAAGAAAAAAATCTCCCTATATAGAAAATATTGGAAAAAAGAAAGTAAAAGGGCGGTGCCGCCCCATATGCACCGCCCAAATCATTAAAAAAAAAAATAATAATAATAATAAAATAATAATAATAATAATAATATAATAATAATATTTTAAGAGAATTGAGGCCAATTTGGCAAATTGAAAGATTCCCTCGAATGCTATAAATAGAGGGAGTTCGGACGGGAGAAAACACACCAAAGAAGAAGAGAAAAATAGAGAAAAGAAAGAGAAAGGAAAGAAAAGATAGATTTATGTCCAAATATCGGATATAAAAATATCAAAAGAGAGAAACAAGTGATAATTTTTATTTGTTTTAAGATATCCCTTTTATTTATAAGTGCTCAATTCTCGATTCCGTTCCCGTTCGCCGGAGCTCGTAAATCTGGTGTGCTACAGATTTAGAGACGTTTGCCGTTGTATCTTTGGGGAAGTTACGCCAGAACCGTTAGCTGACACACGGGGCGTATTCTTCTTGCGGAAAGAGTTTTACTCGCCTCGGCTAAAATCTTTCCGTTTTTTCGGTTGTATTTTATTTTTCAGTTCAATTGTAATTTTCTATTTTTAGATTATTTGTAAGAACTGAAAATACATATCAGTTCGTAGGATTCCCGTGTGATTATGACACAAAGTCTCCAACAGAAAATACGTATATGCTTGCCTTTTGGGTGGAGGAGGTGGTGATGAATAGATGCAACTTTCCTAATCATATTTCTTGTATATATACAACAAAAGGAAGAGTGAGAGTTATGGCTTCTACATGGGAAATTGAGCAACCTCCATCTCTACTTAATCATCAATTTGTATACAGTTTTGTCCATTCTCACATTTTCATCAATTTCTAGTTGTGGTGTAGAAAAAAATTTAAACAAACTAGTGTGCTCCATGTTGACAAAATAAAAGAAAGTTTCATGGGCTAGAAATCAAACTAGGCATAAGCAACTTTTAAAATTGATCAAAAGTAGATTTTTTATTTTTTATTTTTTTTTGCGATCTCCGGCATAAAAAGCCACGTTGTGCAGAGCTAGCGTTTTTTTTTACACGCTGACGACAGTCATTAGGCATGGTTGTGTACACCTGCAGATAAAATGGGGAAAACTGTTGGAGTATGTTGTAAAAGTTGGGCTTTGTGTTACTCAACAATTCTATTTTGAATGAGATGTGTGATTTTAGTCAAGTGGATGTTCGTAGTTAATTTATTTATGCGAAAATTGTTCATTTATTTTACCGTATAAATAATATGGTTCCAGGTTTGGAACACTAAGATCATATTATATTATCAGTTCCTTATAAAATATAAATGACGGCTCCTAAGCTAGACGAGAATTGAACTCCTTGTCGTGAAATATTGTAGTGTGATCTTGAAATTAGTTGATCTTAGACGTATGGATTACACTATTACATCCTGGATGTATTGAACGAAACCATAAAAGGATAAGAGTATTTTATAATGACCAAGTAAATAATCTAGACCTCATTATTTGCGTATTCTTTACCCGTAAGACAATGTACGGACATATATAGTTGACACTTACTTATTTGATATATCATGGATGAGACTTATTCTAGTAGGCCGACATACTCAATATTTAGGTAAGTAATGTCGACTGCATGATGTCCCGTCGATATTGCTTACAATCCCAGGAATGACCAGGTTGATGACGACCCTAAAATAGGCTCTTGAAGGATTATTATGTGAAGCCCGATTGGCGGATTAATTTTCGATATAATAATAAATGATTTAGTGGTACCGGAGTTTCTCATTCAAGACGTTGATTAATTATATTGTCACTAATTAAATTAATCAACAAACGTTAAATCTTAAAATTTGGGATGTAAAATCGAGCAATAAATAAAGGGACGAATTAATTGTAATTCGGAGTTGATTGGAAGTGCAATAATATTTCTCTAGTTGAATGATTTATTATTCGAGTACTGAGCAGAGTAGGCTTGGCCCACAAGTGGACTCATGCTTGGTAAGCCCATATTTAACACCTTTTTAGGGTCTCTACTGTAGGCCTATAAATACACAAATCTCAAGTCTCCACAACATAAGATTACATATTGACGATTTGTTGTCTCTCTCCCAAGAGATCGAATTTGACTTGTTCTTGAGAGATTTTGAGATTTGAGAGCTTGTTCGATCGCTCCACCAAGATCGTTCAGAGAAGGTGTTTTGGATAATACAGTAAAAGACCTTTTGGTCTTTTATTCGTATCGTGTACAATATATTTGTACTCTGTATAAGTTTCTAATTTACGGGGTTGTCTGTCCTTCACGAAAATCGAGGATCATCATCACCGAAGACCGACGATCATCATCCTGAACTTGTCGCGCTCAGCCGCACAACACCATGTCCACAGTCGCGCAGTCACGTCACGACGCACGCAGCACCACGGAGACCTGCTCCCAAGCGCGCGTAGACTTGCAACTCGCGTTTTTCTCGTGCAGGCGTTCTCCAACGGTCGACCTACGTGCTCCTGAGAGACCCGATTTCATCCCAGTACGACCCACGTGCTTTCACGAGACCCGAGTACGTTGCCAGCGAGACCCACGATCTTCTTACAGGACCCGCGTGCCCAGTTCAACCCGTCCCAGCATCCCAGCGTCCCCAGCATGCCCCAGCGTGCAGCCCGCGTGCTCCTAGTACCAGACTCGGATTTTCCGGCAAACAGCGGTCCATTCCGGTTCACCCGCGCATTCAGCACCTGGTTCATGCCCAGTCTGGTTCAGCAGCGGTCCAGGAGTCTGGGCGAGCCCATGATGAGTCTGGGGTGGTTCGACCAAGCCACCGGAGGTCCAAGATGGTCCGACGAGAGGGACGAGTGACCAGAGATGCGAGATAAGAGACACGTCGAGGTCTGACGATGGTGAGCGTTCAGACGATCTTCATCAACGGAAATAAAAAAAATGTCTCAAATTCGGCAAATTTTTAAATTTTAAGCCTTAAATCTGAACTATAAATTCTGTTGCGTTAGGATTTATTTTTAATATATTCGAATGTGCACATGGATGAGGTTTCTCATACAAACCAATAAAAATTGGAATTTTCCCCCAAAACTAAAATTTCCAATTCCATAACTTTAGAACCCTAGTCCACAATCTCGTTATTAAATGTGTTTGGATCGAAAGCACAACTGAGCATACGGCTGAAAACATATGAGATTCCTTTGTAAAACAATTGCACTTCAAGTTTCCTCCTCCTATATATCATAAGTTCGTTTTTTTGATTTATTTCGATTTTGTCTATTGCAATAAACAACATGAAAATTTTGGCTTTTTGGAGTCTATATTTTGACATTTTTTCAACTGTTTTCTATTTGTGGACCACTTCTTTTAAAAACATTCCTCATTTTTACTTGTTTATAATTTTGGGGTTTACAAAATGTTCATGTGGAGTATTTACTTGTTGAAAATATTTTTTCCCCAAAAACTTATAGGTCCTTCATCTGATTCTTTACCATTGATTATACATAGGAATGGAATTTTTTTCATGTCCCAACACCAAAATATAAAGGAGGCAAGATTTTTATAATTGATTATGTCACCCCCATAAAAATTTGGATTGTTGACTGTCAATGAGTAGTGCAAAAATGAAGGAGTCTCTGGAGGTATGATGTTGTATATATATGATGGTAGTGGGTTTATGCTATTGTGCAGTGATACGGAGCTCACTAAATTTGTACATGTTGCAGTGAGAAATAGAAGGATGCATATATATATGTTAATGTTAGGGCTCCTAATGAGCCTAGTGATCTTAATGAGCCCAATGAGTCAAAATAGTCCATGTTTTTAACCCAATCCTGAAACAATTGAAAAATCCATGGGGTAGTGATTCATCATCTTTGGTAACGATTTGGTTGAACACCTTCCACCATGAACGATCCTCTACTTTGAGCTCCTAACTTCACCATAAACTATCCTCTTCCTTAAGCTCCTGATAACCTGCAATATGTCGGTAGGGGGTTCCAGCAAAAAAATCTCTGACGATCAAGTCAGAACTCGCACAATTGTTAATAAAAGTATAAAAAATAAGGGTGGATAGTGGTAACGTTGCCGTAGAACGTCGTGTACCTGCAAATAACTCTCACACCAGAAGGATTTTCCGGTGAATAGTCTCTGATGCTTAAGTCAGTGTTTGTTTCACTCAATTCTCAAGAAAAAAAATTGATAAATCATGTTCAACAAGGAAAGCTCACCCCTATGTATAGGGGTGAGATACCTGACTTAGGAGCTGCCAGGATTTGATGAGCCGTCTGCCCACTGCCCAGGCCTGACTGTTCGTACACACATAGTATGCGTGTGTCAAAAATGGTTACCACCATAGACCAATACATTCGCGACATGTGTCCTCTGCACATGGGGTAAATATTCCCTTGAATATTCTCTTGGAATCCCATTGAAGGCTCTTACACTCAGGTACGTCTAGGTCGGTCCTCAGACTGCTCTCAGTATATGCAGTGGCCGATCAAATGATCCTTTCACTGGATAAGTCAATCTTTGACAAGATCCTCCGTGGGTCTACGATCAACGTATACCCCTTATGTTAGAATCCTCCACATCCAGTTCTCATAGCGTTTGACCCTGGTCGCTTTGCTTGATACTGTTCGACAAGTGTGGTCTTCTTCCATCTTCTACAAAACCTAAATTCTTTCCTTTGACCTCTTTTCGTTATTATTTTTCAAATTCTGCTACCTCTAGTGAAAACGACCACTACTCCGACAAGAATATGCCCTCTCCATCTTCGTCCCCGACTTTCCGACCAATACCTCACTCCCCTTCCCGCTCTGCTTAGGAGGTTTACCAGAAAGTTCCCCTCAACATGTTTCGCCCCGCCGATTTTGATGCACCTCTTCCTCTTCTTCAGCCCTCTTGTTTGATCGACGAATCAGATGAGGATGTTCTTGAACATGTTCCCCTTGGCCGTCGTCGTCGTTTTGCCTTTGGTGCTTCTGATGCC